TAGGCTGGCCCCCAGCCCCCGGCCCAGGCTCCCCAGGACCCGGCCCGCGCCTAGGCTGCGCCGCGCTTCGCAACGTGTCCGGCGCGCAGTACGTGGGCTCCGGCTACACCAAGGCCGTGTACCGGGTCCGTCTTCCCGGCGGCGCCGCAGTGGCGCTCAAAGCTGTGGACTTCAGCGGCCACGATCTCGGTAGCTGCGTGCGTGAGTTCGGGGCACGGAGGGGCTGCTATCGGCTGGCGGCCCACAAGCTGCTCAAGGAGATGGTGCTGCTGGAGCGACTGCGGCACCCCAACGTGCTGCAGGTACGAGGGTGAGAGTACGAAGCTGAGGGGCTGACTGGTGGGTCACTCTGGCTGAAAGAGAACCTCTTGGTTTTATAGGTAAAGAAAACTGAGCCTAATGACTGTTCAGGTTTGAGTTGAGACAGAACCCATACCAAAGAGCTTCCCACTGCATCACCTTGCCTTTCATTCCTGCGTGGGCACGTGGGCATCCTTTTACTGAGCTTCCATGCATCTCTTCGGGACAGAGGGACCCAGGACCCTGGAAGGAGTGGCACACCGAGAATGGGACTCTTAGCACTTTTCTTGGCTGGAGCTATGGTGTTGGGCACCTGGTTTATGTTCTCAAACCTGGACACCAACAGGAGTAGTTAGCCCTGAGTCAGAATCCGCACTCCAGTGATAAGATCCCTTCTTCTTGATGAACGTGAGCAACACTTCTCTCAACTTCCTAACAGTGATTTTTTCTGACTTGGAAGATGGAGTGCGCACCACTGTGGGGTTGGGCTACGTCAGGCTTGATTCTCACCAAGTCCCTGCTATCCTCTTTCCTGTCTAGTCTTCAAGAAGCCACTGAGAGGACTGGAAGAGTTTGGGGAGCAGGTCAGAAAGTCACAAACCCCACTTAGAAGTGACAGTGGGAGTTTCCTGGCCTTAAAGTAGGTCCTTGACCATTAGAGGACAGGCTGAGGGAGTGAAGATCCACACTCTGTAAGGGTAGGTGGCCAAGAATCTGAATGGTTAAGAAGGCTAGGTGCACCAGTTCCTACTAAATGGCACTCCTGTTGCCCCTGTTCATTAGTAACAGAGGAGCGAGTTGAGGCCACCAACTTGTCCCTTCCAGGCTAGGCATTAGAGAGTGGGCCTCTCACAATCCCAGCACTCCCTAACAGAGGACACTTGCTTCTCTCCCTCAGGTCTCGGTCCTTGAGTCTGTTCAAGGATTAAACAGACTGTTTCCTCTGCACATGTCTGAGCAAACTGAGAGGGGAATCCCTGACTGCTCTTGGCCCGATGAGCACAGGGTGTGTGTAGCTGCCCTGGCTGAGGAATCTTGCCCACACCTTCCACCTCCCAGCCCACTCAGATGAACTATTCTGCACCAGCAGAACTGACCCAAGCCTGGAAGGGTGGTGGGCACCAAAGAATAGGAGAAATCCAGGTGGTAACCCAATGAGTAGGCCATTAAGTTCTTTACACTTCTATTAGCTCCCAGTCACCCCAAGACACCCCAACTCTGGTCAGACACTTGTGACAGAGTCCTGGGCCCTGCCCTGGTTGTAGGAGGTCAGGCAGAGCTAACAGTTATGTGTGGTCATGCCTGATTGCATAGCTGACTCTTATGTGTCCCGAGCTTCAGGGAGTGAGTGGCTGGTTACGTGGCCATTCTAACTGGGAGGATCTTGTTCTCTTCCCTTTCCAGGGACTGCTGGGAACTCCTTGGAACCCTGGGGTGTCAGCCAGATTCTGAGGGGAAGGAGCCGCCTTGAGTGACTTAGCAGATATTAAGTATTAGTTAATTGACCCCAAGATCCTTCTCCTTTGGGACATGTTTGATATTTGATGTGCTTTCCTGTCTTTTATGGAACTTCTCCCCTGCTAACCTCACCCAAATTTCCTGTGAAGCATCCAGCTAACCCCACACACACCTATCACAGAATTGTCTCCTGTTTAATGTTAAGCAAAGGGCAAGTCCATCCCCCAGCCCTGAATGAGTCAAAGAAAAGGATAATAACGAAATCATTTTCACCCATCACTTCACCGAAACTGGGTCTGTCTGGGGTTGGCCGTGTGACTCTTCTAGGGACAGATACTTGAAGTTAGCTTCTGGTGTGGCGCTGTAGGATCTGCATTGGACTGGAAATCACTAGGTCTTACAAAGCTACAAGTAAGGGGATTTGGGAATCCCTTAGTGCGAATTTAGGGACTATTTGGGGTACATTTCCCTTTGTATCACTTGACCCCCAGCCAGTGTCCCTGACAATGCCACGTCTATTGCAATGAAGCCTTTTTCTACACTACAGCCTTCAGTATAGGCTTGCAGAAAACTAAAAATATTGTTGTTTTAATACCTCCTCATCATTTTAAACTTTTAAACCGTTTGACTGTTTGCTGAACTGGGGAGGAGCCAAAGAATGCTCCTCAGAATTTCTACTCCCCCAACACCCTTCAGGGCCCCTCCCTGTCTGTGAAGCCCCAAAGTCGGTGCTGTAGGTTCTAATAGAAAATTCCCAAGACAACATCATGTACCATTGAGCAGTGCCCAGTATAGGCTCTGGTTGCTGGGGCTGCCTTGGAGAGGTCTAACATTCTGTCCGTCTATCCATCTTTTGTGACCCTTCCCAACGCCATCCCTGACACACAGGCACACATACAAACACACAAACACTCTCTGTCTCTATCTATCACATGACAATTGCTGCTATAGCACAGGGTCAAAGGGCACAAGGGTCTCCCCCGACCCCACCTCCATTTCCCGGGGCCTCAAGCCTCCAATGGGGCCCCAAGCCTGCTTCAGTCCAGAATCTGAGCCCACTGGAGTATGTTTCTTCTCCCAAACAAACAAAAGATGCAGTTGAAATCCTCACGCTTCCTGGGGGAGTTAATGGTGTCTTTTTATTTTTTCCTGAGGAGTGTTGATTAATACCTCGTTAACAGCGCATTTAACGACCTCCGGGCGTTTAATAACCTTCAGAAGTTTCCCACAAAGGCTCAGACGCTGGGCAAGAAAATGAGAACCAGGCCCCAGGGCTGCTCCCCTTACCTCCCCCCGACACTCTGGGGTCTGGGGCCTCCCTGAGCTGAGGGAAGAGTAGACAGAGGGAAGAGGAGGGAGGGTGCCTGGGGCCACCCCTAATCCCTCAAGTTGCAGCCCAGGTGATCTGATGTCGGTACACTGACTTGTTCCTTCCCTGGCCAGCAGCATAGGGGACACCAGGCTCTATGGAGGGGGAGCTGAAAGGGCACTTCTGGGATGGATGGGGCATGTTGAGAGCACATGAATGATTGCAAGAGTAACTGGAGGCAGAGACACCTAGCACCTCAGCGCCCTGTTCCTCCCCAACGCTGTAGCTCTCCCAGCTCTCTGAACTCTTCTGACCTCCTCAGGTTCTGTGGCCCCAACCCACAGAGTGCTGGTGGTTCTGAACACTGTCTGAATTCTGAGCTTACGGGGAGTGTGTTTGGAGAGGTCAAGAGGAGCAGAGCTCTCTGTGGATGCTGGGTGAAGTGTTGGTGACAAAGACAGGCTGTGCTTCCCAGTAGCCCTTGCCCCACCAGGTGGCACTGAGCCCCTCCCCTGACAATTCTCTGTGTGGCCATGCCCCCAAAATAACTGCACTTCCCTGGCAACCACCCCTTAGCACCACCTTCATTGCTACATGTGACCTACTCCTGAGAATACCGGGAAGGTGCCTCTTAGAAACCTTGTTCTCATCAACTCTGGTTGCCTGTTACTGATCCCGAGGGAGCTTGCACTTCCTCCCACAAGACCTGAGCAGAGAAAAAATGAAGCTGCCATAAAGTGGAAGTGATGAGAAATAGAGGAGGATTGGAGCAAGGGAGGAGCTATAACACTTATTTGCTGACTTGTCTGTTAGCAAACAGTAATCTTGGAAGGATCAAGGCAGTGGAGTCAGAGGCGTAAATTTGAGTCTTAGCACCTTCAGTTATTAGCTATGTGACCTTATGCAAACAACTTAACCTCTCTGAGTCTTTCCTCACCTACAAATTGGAGTTAATAATAGTACCTACCATACTCTTTGGAGTCCTGATATGGTGCTGTAGTATAATCACTGGACAGCTAACCATAAGGTTCAAATCCACCAGCTACTTCTCAGAAGCCTTATACAGTGTCGCTATGAGTCAGAATAGACTCACAGCACTTAACAACAACATGTCCTTTAAGGATGGTTAAAAGAATTGAATTACACACATAAAGAGTGTAGCTCAGTGTCTAACACATGGTGGCCAGACCTACCCATTTTCCTGAGTAGCTGGAGGTGAGGGGCTGATGTAGTCGGTAGGAACTGTGGCCGCAGGGGAAGAGAGGGCAGGCTTCCCAGCAGCCGCAAGGTTTTTCTCTTGTGGCCTGAGCTGCAGCAATATCCTTAGATGGCCAGGGCAGAGGGAGGGGGCATTTGACAGGCCAGTCTTCTTCTGTTCCGCCCCCACCCTGTGACCTAATGACCTACCCTGTGCCTCCCCCAGCTCTATGGCTACTGCTACCAGGACAGCGAGGACATCCCTGACACCCTGACCACCATCACAGAGCTGGGGGCCCCGGTGGAAATGATCCAGCTGCTGCAGACGTCCTGGGAAGACCGATTCCGAGTGAGTGGGGGCGGGCTGGGGCCCTGGACTCCTTGCTTGGATGGTTCTCCCTTAGAAGGCTAGCTCTCTTGAGCAGCCTCCCTCCTTCTCAAGGGGGAAGGAAGGAGGGAGCAATGGCTGACTCATCTAATGGCCAAAGGGTTAAAAAAAGAAACAAACCGTAGAGGATCTTGACCTTCCATGCGCTGGCTCCCCTCACTCCCTAACACACTATCACACACACACAATGTCCTGGGGCTAGAAAAGGCCTGAAGGACCCTTTGACTGCCTCTTACTTCCAAGCACTGAATTAAGATCTCATTCAAGAAACAGCTCCTGGAAAGATGTTCATTGTCCCAGCCACCCATTCCACATTTCTGGGTTAATAGAAAACCCCTGGTCTCCTCCATAAGGCTCCTGACTTCATTCCTCAGTGAGCCTACAGTAGAGAAAGAACCAACTTGAGCCAAGTCTAGATCCCCAAAGGAGGGGGTCAGCCCTGGGATCCCTTGGGGTCTCCTGGGCTCCACCAGGAAAGAAGTAGTGAGCAGTGTTTGTGTCCATCCCTTCAGATCTGCTTAAGCCTGGGTCGCCTCCTGCACCACCTGGCCCACTCCCCACTGGGCTCTGTCACACTGCTGGACTTCCGTCCTCGGCAGTTTGTACTGGTGGATGGGGAACTGAAGGTGACAGACCTGGATGATGCCCGTGTGGAGGAGACACCGTGTACAAGCAGCACCGACTGCATACTCGAGTTTCCAGCCCGCAACTTCACTCTGCCCTGCTCAGCCCAGGGCTGGTGCAAAGACATGAATGAGAAGCGGAACCTCTACAATGCCTACAGGTGACCCCAGGCTCCACTTAGGAGCTCCAGCAAGTGAGACTGAGCCCAGGGAAGTTGGCGAGAAAGAGCTGTCATGGGGTCCAGGAGACCAGCTAGGGGCAGGAGACTGGCCTTGGCCACTGGAGTCAAGAAAGAAATGTTTAGACTCCTGGGTGGTGAGACTAAAAATAGACAATTCCAAGGAGAATCTGGGCTTGGGGTGGCAGCTGAAGACTTCTTAAAATAGTCTCAGGCTCAGAGCCTTGGGATGGTAGAGCCGGCCCTGCCCCCTCCTACCCTGACCCTGGTCCCTGACCGCAGGGAAGCTCCTCATTTGGGCCCCAGCTACAGGGCTGCTCTTACCCTGGAGGTCAGTCACAGGGACATTGTGGGATTGGGGTGGAGAAGGCCTGGGAGGGACAGAAAAAAGAGACCTCCTTGTTCAGTTTGATACAACGTTAGCTGTGGCTTTGTTGTTGTTGTTAGGTGCCATCGAGTCGGTACCAACCTTTTGCACAACAGAATGAAACACTGCCTTGTCATGGGCCAACCTCACAATTGTTGCCACACTTGAGCCCATTTATGCTGCCACTTTGCCAATCCATCTCACTGGGGGTCTTCCTCTTTTTTCTCTGACCCTCCACCTTACCAAACATGATATCCTTCTCCAGTGATAGGTCGCTCCTGACAATATGTCCGAAGTATGAGAGACGAAGTTTGGCCATCCTGGCCTCCAAGGAACACTCTTGGCTGCACTTCTTCCAACACAGATCTGTTGGTTCTTTTGGCAGTCCATGGCACTTCCCAAGTCTGAGTAGGCTTCCTGGTAGACAGGCGGGGTGTGCCTGGTCATGAGGCCAGGTTGGAGTTGAGAAAGAGTGTGTCTCAAAAGGCTCGTCCACTAAGTCCTTGGTTTCTCACTGCTGCAGGTTTTTCTTCACATACCTCCTACCCCACAGTGCCCCACACTCACTCCGGCCTCTGCTGGACAGCATCGTCAATGCCACAGGTGAGCTCTCCCAGACCTCTGCTTTTTTATCTCCCTGCCCTCTCCCCAGCTGAAAAGGGACCACGTGGTCCAAAAACCATCATTTCCCAAGGTGGTGTTCTCTGACGAACCACCTCCCCATATTCCAGAGGGAGGGAGGAAGGGAAAGGCAGCTGGCTACCTACCTGGGGAGGTGTGGGAACCCAGGCACCCTACAACAGCCACACCACTGTGCAGGAGAACTCACCTGGGGTGTGGACGAGACCTTGACCCAGCTGGAGAAGGTACTGCACTTGTACCGCAGTGGGCAGTACCTGCAGAACAACACTGCAGGCAGCAGAGCAGGTGAGTGGCCACTGCAGGGATCCCTGAGGCTGGGAGTGGGGAGGAGGGTGAATGTCCTCTCTAACTGGATAGATGGCTCACCCTCCAAATGAGGACACTAATTGCCCTATAGTCAATTCCAACTCATAATGACCCTACATAGAGATTGTGAATCTTTACTGAAGCAGATGATGTTAAATATTGTTGACTAGGGTTCCAAGATGGTGGGTTTGAACCAACGACCTTAGGGTTCAAACCAACCTTGCAGTCCAGTGCTTATCCTACAACACCACACCAAGATCTTTCTCCCAAGCAGCAACTGGTGGATTTGTACCACCCACCTAATGATTAGCAGTCCAATGCCAACCCACAGTGCCACCAGGGTTTCATCTGGTCTCCAAAGGCCACTCTGATTCCCCTTGGAAATTTACTTTAAAGACAAGGATGCACAGACCACCAACTGTTTAGCCCTCAGCTTGAGGTCCATCTCTGGCTGAGTTAGAATGATGGTTCTGCCCTTTCTTGGTGGCTCCTAATCCTACCACTTACTGGTTTGGAGACTGAGTAAATTACCCCAGGAGCCTCACTATTCTCACCTGTAAATTGGGTTCAATATTACCTGCTTAACAAAATTGTTTTAAGGACTGATTGCCTAGTTAGGTGTGTGAAAGCAATTAGCTCAGTTCCTACAACACAGCAGGAACTTGATACCGGTTCATTTCCTTTCTTGCCTCCTGCCCACCCAGGACTTAAAGAGAATTCTCCATTGAAACTCACCCAGGAGTCCTAGGGCATGGGGAGAATTCTGACCACTGGTCACTTGTCTATAGTCCCAGCACGGAGACCCTGGGGTTTAGCTGTGGTTGGCAGGGGTAGGGGGTGGGCAACCTCTGTAGTCTATGAGCCCTGGCCAAGCCCTGGCCAGTCTTAGGTGTGGGGAGGCCTCGTTAGCCCTGTAAATAAAGTTTAACGAGGTGAACAATGGCTGGCTCTGTCCCTGAGGACTCCATTTATGAGGCTATAAATCACAGCCAGCCCTGGACTTTGGTCTAGTCCCCTGGAGGAGGGGGAGGATGCAGGAGAAGAGGGCCAGGGCCGGGTGGCCAGAGGCCTGGGGCTTCTCCATTATCAGCCCAGAGCTGGGGCTCCCCAGCAGTAGGAAGATCTTGGGGTTCACAGGAGACCTATGCTGAGTACCTTTCTGAGCGACCTAAGTGAGCCTGAAAAGTTTTCAGAGCCTCCACTGTTTGTGAGCTCCCCATTTTACACCCAGTCTCCCTCCAGACCCCCACCGAATCACTCAAGATGTTCCCAAATGGTAATTTTTGTGTTTTACATCCATTTGCATGCCTCTTCAAAAAATCCCTGACTGCCTCCCAGGCTCTCCCCTTGGCTAGGGAGGAAGTGGACAGGATGCTGCTTAAAGTCGGCCTGCAACTATGGCTTAGCTTGGAAGCCTATTAGAAATACAACTTCTTGGGCCCCACCCCAGACCTACGGAATCATAATATTCTGTGTTTTTCAGCAAGATTCCCTTAGTGATTCATATGCACATTGGAGTGTGAAAGCCTGACTCTAAATATCTAAAATGTTCTAACCTCAGCAGCCAACTTGGCCAACAGGTGACTCTACATGTGTGCCCACACCCTTTCATGTGCCTACCATCCTGTACAGAACTGAACCAGCTATGTGTGCTTGCATTTGGGGAGATGTGTGTGCATAAAAGGGGTCCCTGTTGGTTTTGTATGCATCGAATGTGTGCCAACTCATAGTGCTTGAAAATTTTCTAGAGTGGTTGGTAGGTCTGAACTTTGACCTTGAGGTTAGCAATCCAGTGCTTATCCTACAGCACCACCTCAAAACCCAAAGTAGAAGTCCTTGGAAGGCGCAAACAGTCAGTGCGTTCAGTTGCTAACTAAAAGGTTGGAGATTCGAGTCCACCCACAATGCCTCAGAAAAAAGTCCTGGTGATCTACTTAGGAAGGATCACAGCCACCGAAAACCCAGGGGAGCACGGTCTCCTCTGACACACATAGGGTTGTCATGAGTCACAATCCACTTGGCAACAATTGGACATTTTTCATCTGCAATGCATTGTGCCTGTATTGTATTTTGCTTTATTGACACTCAACACAGTGTCAATAGTAGGGACTGCTTTAATCACACTGAGAAAACTGAGCTGGGCCTTTAGCACTCTCCTAAGAAGTGAGTCTTCCAGCCCTTTTCAGAAAGTCACCCCAACCTTTACTCTTCTATTCTTATTTGCTGTCCACCCCCACTCCACAGAGTACCAGTGCATCCCGGACAGCACCGTCCCGCAAGAAAACTACCGCTGCTGGCCCTCCTACCTTCATGGTAGTTGCCTCCTTTCAGTGTTCAGTCTGGTGGAAGCCATGGATATCTGTGAGAGCCATGCCCAGTGCCAGGCCTTTGTGGTCACCAACCAGACCACCTGGACAGGTGAGCCAGGGTGAGAGGCACCCCAAGGGAGGTGGCTAGACTTTTCTAGATGAGGCTGACAGGTGCTAGTGGGGAGGCTGAGATGATGCAAGAGAAGCAATTATGTGCCCTCACGGCAGTTCCATTAGGGGGACTGGTCCTGCATGTCGGAGGAGAAACATCTAGTCCATTACCTCTGTCCCAGGTCGGCAGCTGGTCTTCTTCAAGACAGGATGGAGCCAAGTGGTCCCTGATCCCAGTAAGACCACCTATGTGAGAGCCTCTGACTGACCTCTCTGAGGGCTTAGCTGACTGACCAGCTGACCTTCCTTGCTGGCTGAGCTTGTCTGTGGAGGGAGTGACCCACAGCACTCGCTGTCACCTTGGGACCCCTTCAGACAAGGCTGACATCCCAGACAGACCAACATGACCAGGACAAATGTGCAATAATGCAAAATGTTAAAATGTGAGTTTACCCACCTAGATACAGACTGCTGGCTCCAGGACCGGGAATCCTGGGGCGCTGACCACCTCTCTAGCCCTCTGGGCTGCAAGCAAAGCACGGGCTGGCCTCCCCTTAGGGAGCCGTGTCCCTCACTGGACAATTCCGTGTTCATAGTGTGAGAATGTAGCCAAGGCCAGGCAGGGGGCTGCGTGAGGACAATCAGTCACCGAGTGATCTTTTCGGCAGAACTCCAGACAGAGACTTGTCAGGAGATGCTCCAGGGCATGGGTGACTCTAGCCTCCAGACAGGGCGCTCATGGGCCAGCCCAGGGGGCAGCAACAGAGGAGCACACACCCATATGAGCCAAGACTTGGGGTGGAGGAGCAGGTTGCAGTTTGAGCCAGGACCTGGGGCGGCGGTGGGGCCGGGGCATTTCTGCCTCATTTGCTTTCAGTGAAAGCAGCAAAGCAGCCAAGACCAGGCCCCTCCCCCTCCTGGAGTTTGTATATCCGGAAGCTTTTATACTTCTTATTCATTAAATTGTTTATTTTTGTAAAAAATAAAATAAAATATCATTCGGTTAATAAAATGACGTTTCACTGCAAAGATTTTTCCCAAACCACAGCTCCTTGAGCTGGGACTTCCTTGTCCTCAGTTAATGTCTTTGGTGTGTGTGGTGGGGGAGGGGATGTGTGTGTGTCATGGGAGGACACTGAAATCTGCAAAATTAATGTCCAGGCTATGTTCCCACACTGCCCCCTCCCTCCTTGGCTCCCCAGATTCACATCCCCCAGGAGGTTTATACTTAAACATTGTTGTTGTTATGTGCCGTGGAGTCAGTTTCGACTCATAGCGACCCTGTATGGGGTTTCCGAGTCTATAAATCTTTACAGAAGCAGAAAAGCCTCATCTTTCTCCCGCAGAACAGCTGGTAGTTTCGAACTGCTGATTGTGAGATAGCAACCCGATTCTTAAGGGCTTCTTAAATCCTCGGCCCTAATCCAAAGGAGGAGTCTTAGTGTGGCACCATAGGAGAAGCACTCAACTGCAAGGTTGGTTTGAACAAGGTCAGCAGTTCAAACTCACCAGCTGCTCCTCAGAAACCCTATACAGGGTCACTATGAGTCTGAACGAACTTGATGGCACGTAACAACGACAATCCAAAGGTGGGATGTTGGCCACGTTGGTTAATTGGTGAAGAAATACTTCCATAAAGGGGAATCACTGGAGGATACCCAGCAACCCGGAGAGCGCATCATCACCCCCACCCACTACAGCGTTTTCTCTTCTGTAGACTCTCTGGGCAGGAAAGATTTAGCAAGTGGGGAGAAAAGGAGGTCTACAGAAAGACCACTCACTTGTTCTGGACATGAAGGAGGGAAGTTTTCAGGGTCTTGCCAGAATGAAAAAGAACCCCAGAATGAAAACAGCCCTGTTTGAAGATCACATTGAGTCTGGAGAGCACTCCAACATGAATGCAGGTGTTTGACTCAAAATCCCACACCTTCTCCCAGAACCTGATTTGTCTTCAATGGGTGTGGTTGGTATAGTTTTTCACATACAAGATGTCCCTGTAGTTCTAAGTGATTAAGGAGCCAGCATCAATTCTGGATTCCTCATTATGAACAATGTCCTGGCCTTCACAGGCAAAGGGAAAGGCAAGTTGTAGCTCATCACCACCATCCCCAACTTACAGCTCCCCCCCAACCCCACATCTTGCCCCTGGTTATCCGAACTTGATGATTGTTGGGGAGGAGGGCAGAGGGTTATAACATTTAATGAGTCTCACCCCAATACATTTCCAACCAAGCCAAATCTTGCTCATCCATCTCCATACCTCTGAGGATGGTTCCCAAACAAAGATCTCAGACTCCAAAGCTCTTTCTCTAGCTGAATTCACAGGATAGAATACTGTAGCCTGCTCTGATCCATCTGCTGTTTGATTTTATACTTTCCTCTGTTACTCCCTAATGGAGCCCTGTTAGTAACGCTGGATTGCTAACCAGTCAGCAGTGTAAACCTACCAGTGACTCTTCAGAAGAAAGATGAAGCTTTCTGCTCCTGTAAAGGTTTATAGTCTTAAAAACCCTGTACCAGATCGCGATGAGTTGGAATCAACTCCATGTCAGTGGCTTTGGGTTTTGTCACTCTCCAACTTCAACTAGTCTGTGGGGTCTTTAGGGAGAGAAGGAACCACATCACCCCCGAGACTAAGAAAGTGCTAAAATTGGTGAGAACCTAAAAGGGACACTTGGACCCCATTAAAGCAGAGGTCCACAGTTGTCCAGATATACTGCATGACTCAGTAGAGAAAGAGGAACCAGACACTGTCTTCCAGGTTCCCAGAGGTTTCCAGATGAGGAATTCACTGGCCTGTGGAGGACAGAGGAAAGAAGATAGTGCCAGCATCTGGTTTTGGCAAAGTACAAATGCCATTCCAGTTTTTCAGACTAGAAAACTCAAGCCCAGGTCACAGTTGCTAAGTGATTTACTAAAGCGCTCAAATCTAGCCCTGACTTCAAAGCCTGTGCTCTGTGCCTCCCAAAGCAAGGGGAATTACAGCAACAGGAAGCTAAGTTACAGCTTGGGGAGATCTTCCTTCCTTTGACCCAAGAACATGGAGATCCAAAGAGCATAAAGGCTTTGGAGAATGGCCTACTCCAAGTGTCTGGAATGACAATCGGCAGCCTCTTTCATCATAAGTGAACCTGGCCTCTCAACCTATTTCTGGGGCAAACATGAACCAGGTTCATTCCTACAGAGTAGTTGTTACATGCCATTGAGTTGATTCTGACTCATAGTGACCCTGTATAGGGTTTCCGAGAAGTGGCTAGTGAGTTTGAACTGCAGATCTTGTGGTTCAAACCTACCTTGCGGTCCAGTGCATTTGAAGACAGCATTTGCATTGCAACTGGTAATGGAGAAGTGATGGAATACCCAGAAAAGAAAAATAGTATGGAGATCTAAGGCGAAATGAATCCTCACCTCCAACCCTAGTGACGGTTTTCTTGTAGCTACCTGCCTCTGGAAAACTTTCAGGTCCTGAATGCATCTAGTCCCTGTTCCCACCCAAGCCAAAGCTTTATCCACACCACCTCTACCACCCCGCCTCACCTAAGCCTGTGTCCTTTCCATTCCACTGCACTACTAGTGACACCCAGGTTTTGTGGATAGAAGAAATACACTCACTCAAACGAAGCATTGGATGGGAGTTGATGTGTGTGTACGAGAAGAGAGAGAGGTCCTTGCTGGGGTGAGGGAAGCTGGAAGCAGCACAAGAAGAGTTGTGCTGCTGAGTGTGTCCCCTACAATGGTCTGGAGTCAACAGGAGCCAAGATCCAGGTCGGTTCTGCTTTTGGTTCCCAGTGTGATCTGGGCCATGATCCCCGAGTTTCAGTTTCCCCATCTGCAAAACTCAAATTGATAATATCTGTGTCACAAGTGTATTATGGGAATTAAATGAAATAATGTCCATGAAGTTCTTAACCTTAAAGTGTTGGCAAAAGTAAGTACTTAGGAAATAGTTGTTGAGACTCGTTGTTGCTGTTAGTGAATTCCTCAATATTCATCCATGGCCTGGCCCAGGAGAACATCCAAGTCAGCTGGGGAGGACCAACGCATGGGTCAGATTGCTGCCAGGCCTCCAGTATCCCCCACCAGCACTGCTGTCTCCTGGTGGAGGTGGAGCCCAGCTTTTTCTCTGGGTCATTGCCCTGGGAGTTGAGTGTGTGGCAGACCGAAGGAGGAAGAGGATTAACATGAGAGCAGAAAATGGGATTAAGAGGCATCCGCACAATGTACCCACCTACCCCCCATCCATGACAACGGTGTGTGGCTTTCATTCTGTGACTTCTTGGGCCCAGAGCATGTCTATTCCTAGGGACAGAAAGGAGTTGGGTGGATTCAGTCTGCTAGGGAAAGGAGCTAGCTGTTACTGGCTATCTGCCAGGCCTAGGCACCTTTATGTGTGATCTCTCATTTAATCCTTACAGAAACCCTGTGAGGTGCGGGGTGGAGGGGGTGGGGTGTAACCCAGAGAGGTGAAGAATTTTGCCCACAGCCATGTAGCTAGTCAGTTGAGAGCCAGGATTAAAGTCTAGGTTATTACACTTGGAAGTCAGTGTTCCTCCCCCTTTGCCTGACTACCTCACATAGGAGCACAGCTTCTAGGATTAGTGATCTAGTCACACCAGCCACTGTGTTCTGAAGGACTTTCAGACCCAAACCCTGCTTTCGATGGGAAGCCCAAAAAGCAATTTGAGGAAATCAGATCTGCTTATCTGACATCATCCCACAAGAGGAGGATTTCCCCAGAGCCTGATTTTCCTCAAGGACCCTGTTGTCTGTCCTGTTATCCTGTTTGTTGTTTAATGTCATCAAGTCAATTTTGACTCATAGCAACTCCATGTGACAGAGTAGAACTGCCCCATAGGGTTTTGTAGACTGTAATCTTTATATGAGAGTAGATTCCCTGGGTCTTTCTCCTTCCAACCACTGTGCAGGTTTGTACTGCCAGCCTTTAAGTTAACAGCTAGTGCTTAATCTTTGCACCATCAGAGCTCCTCTGAAGTCTGTGCAGCAGGATTTTAATTCTTCCCTGTTTGCCTCTCTGTGAATCTCAGCCAGCGCTACCTGCTTGGGTGAAGCAAGTGTCTGGGACAGTCTCAGCTATGTGAAGGAAGCAGAACAACCATGATTTATCTTAAAGGTGACCACTCAAGCTCTCGAGGTTCTCTGACAACAGTGTTAGAACTCTGTTCCACAAACCTGGGTCAGGTACCTTTCAGCCTTCTTCTTTCCAGTTTGTGAGCCCTCATCCTCCTGCCCCATCCCTACCCTTGCCTTTACTCCAACCTGCATCCTCTCACCTGCTCTCCTTTCGCCACATTCCAGCTCCTGGATGGAGAGCAAAGTGAAGAGGGCCCAAGAGCAGGTGAGAAGGGGCAGATGAGATACACTGTCACGCCACCTTCCTT